GCAGCTCTGTACCTCATCTGTTGATCCCACCTTTGAAGAGGAGACACAGTGCTCACCTTAATTGCGCTGGTAGCAGCTTATATCCCATGTATCATTTTCACCATTGATTGGAAGCTGCCTTGGGAATTCAGTACCAGGCATTACCCCTCTGGGTGGGAGAGGGAAAAGTGTAAAGCTGGAGTGGGCTGGAGTCAGGCGTGGCCCGCCCAGTGTCCTCTGCAGAGTGGTGAAGTAGTCTGAGCCCTCTCGGGAGCCCTGAGTCCAGGAATATATGTCTGATGGAGTCCATCTAAGGCTTGTTTCCAGAAAGTTCAGTTACTCTGTGCAGCTAAATGCTTCAAGAGGAAAGATAGGCTTAGGTTGCTTTTCCTCTGAGGGTTGATTGAAATTTCTTGAGTGAGGAGTAGAGAAAGGGCAGGACCCTCCTCATCACACAGCTGGTGTTTCAGGCTGTGGCCAGTGCAGGGTGGGATTTCCTAGCTGTGGATGAGGTAATAAGGTGTCTCTGAGGGATGAGGTGTCTCAGAGAGTTGAGTCCGTGGGGCAGTCAGAATAGCCTTAAGAGAAAATCATGAAGAAGAAAAGGTCCTCCTTTAGCTGCCTCTACTTGGTATCTTAGAGAGGGCTTAGAGGGCTCTCCATCTTCTGCCCATGAAAAGACTTCTTGAGCCTCTGCCTTCGTGGCTCTTAGGGTTCTGATCTTGATAGCAGCAGCCCCAACCACTTTCTTTCTGTGTGTCTAGTCAGTATTTTTCTCCTTTTGATGTTTTATGAAGCCATACGATAACCAATGAATCTATTATCTTTCCTACCTGAGTGACCCAAAGCCAGCACCAAACCCTGGGAGTCCCTGAAGCCTAATAGAACAGGTAGAACTTGCAAAAGGAATTTGGCTGAGAGCTCACTTCTCATCCTGTACTCATTGTGTCTTTGTAGATAGAAAAAAGCTAGCCTGCCAAAGAGAAATAGTGTCCTAGAAGAACAAAACTTCATATAGAAAGTTCTAGGCAAGTATTTGATGGTTTCCTTAAGGATGTGAGCTTTGTGTTTCCACCTAGCCTTGTAAAATGTTCCTGTGGTATTTTGTGTCACACATCCTACCTTTGATGAGTCTCACATCCCACCTTCCTACAAATAGCTAAAATAATTTTGTTTCATTTTCCCCAGACCAAAATGTTTGATCATCTGTTCAACATTATGGGAGGTCCTGTGCAATGCAAATTTTGCCATTTCCCCAAAACTGGTGGCATAAAGGCTGATGCTCGGGGAGAACCCCGTTGCTGGGGACAGGCAGCTCTGTTTAATGGGATCTTCTTTGGTTTGATGTTCCCATTGTTTTCTCAGTTCTGGGAAGCCTATTACATTAGTACTAATGTAATCACTGAAACCTTTTCTTGAAATCAGGGAAGCAGCCAAACTTTGATTAAAGTTGCAAGTTCTGGGGACTTGCGGGGGTTGCCGTAAACCCTGACAGTGGGTTTTGGTTCAGCATGTAAATGCAACTTTGATTTTCTTAAGGACTGATTGGCCTGTCATGTCCCTGTATCCTCATGCTCATCATCTCAGCAGGCCTGAGAGGCCAGGTCAGTTTGGGTGTTCATCATGAGGATTGCTTCTGCTGTGGAGCTGAGGGACATGGGCACGTTGCTGAGAAGGTGGGGTGAAAGTGAGTGCTGGGGGTGGGTGAGCGCCCTGGTCTTGTTCATAGGGGAGTCTTTCCCTAGCAGTGGAAAGCTGTGGTCATTTTCTCTAGCATATTCCCTTAGGAAGTCTAGATTTGCTATTAATCTGGCTGAGAATCTAAGTTCTGTGCCTTAGAGACAGTCTGCACTTTCTCATATTGTGCCTGAGACAGCCATATGATTTTTTTTCCCACCAAACAAGTATGGAAACAGAAACCAGTTCAAAGGGGGATGGAGTAAAAGATGAGGCAGTAGAAATGCCTTTGAATGGTTTTCTGTAGCTAATTCTCTTCACATTTTGTCCTGCTTTTTTCTTTATGCAGTGCTAGGGGTTTTAAGTTTTCTAGTAGTATTGCTTTTGAGTTACAGTATAACCTGAGTTACTCCTCTGCTCTAACATTGTTGCGGAAGAACTAGTTTATTGTTAGCCAGGTTGCTTGAAAGGTTGAGGGTGGAGTGGTTTGGCATTTCTGTTTTAAATAAACATTTAAGCTCTTAATCAGTACTGTGCCTCAGTAAGCCTGTGCATGGACCTTAGTCTCTGGGGATAAAACATCCAGATTCTAGGCCTCCGTGAATCTTTGATTCTGTGAGTCTTTATATAAATAATGTTCTTGGAACAGAAACAATGCAAGGGACATTTGCACAGAAATAGTCTTTGCTTCTCTCCAGTTTCTTATTCTTGCCAACAGAATCATTTCTACTGCTACAGCTTTTTTCCCAAAAATGTCTAAAAGTGCTGAAAGTGCAGAGGGAGGGAAAAAATGAGCCACTAAAAGGATGATTCTTTCTTGTACCTACCTCCTCAGTCTCAGTGGGGGCCTTTCCAAGTGATAATGCTAGTTTATGGTTTGTAAAACTTTTCCCCCAAAGAGATTGAACTGAATTTGGTCTCCCTGGCATAGCACAGCCACGTTACTTCTCTTGGCTGAGCCTTTCATTGAAGTTTAAAGCAAAAGTACATTAAAAATTTTCATTTCATTTGCCATATGTTCACAAACATTCATAATAGAACAATTCAGGGGCAAGAATGCATTTTAAATAAATTCATTCAGATGAAATCCCTAAACCTCCAAAAAAGTATTCATGATGGTCAGGGCAGAGTGGGCTGTGATCAGGACTATAAAACATGTTCCTTCCTGCTGCAATGCCAAAAATCATTTATTGTTTCAATGATTAACTGTGGAAATAAACATGCTGATCATTAAACCTCACAGAATCATGAACATTAGAGAGAAAAACTCCACTATGTCACATCTCTGTTACCTCCTGTGTAGCTGTGGAGAGTGATATATTGATAATGAAAGCAGACATTGACCAGAAGGTGCTGTGCTGCATTATATACATTGCTGTTAAGAAATACTGTCTCCAGCCGGACGTGGTGGCTCACGCCTGTAATCCCAGCACTTCGGGAGGCCGAGACGGGCGGATCACGAGGTCAGGAGATCGAGACCATCCTGGCTAGCACGGTGAAACCCCGTCTCTACTAAAAATACAAAAAAATTAGCCGGGTGTTGTGGCGGGCACCTGTAGTCCCAGCTACTCGGGAAGCTGAGGCAGGAGAAAGGTGTGAACCCAGGAGGCCGAGTTTGCAGTGAGCTGAGATCATGCCACTGCACTCCAGCCTGGGCTACAGAGCAAGACTCCATCTCAAAAAGAAAAAAAAGAAAAACTGTCTCGGCAGGCCGGGCATGGTGGCTCATGCCTGTAATCCCAGCACTTCGGGAGGCTGAGGCAGGCAGGTCAGGAGATAGAGACCATCCTGGCTAACACGGTGAAACCCCGTCTCTACTAAAAATACAAAAAATTAGCTGGGCATGGTGGCAGGCGCCTGTAGTCCCAGCTACTAGGGAGGCTGAGGCAGGAGAATGGCGTGAACCTGGGAGGCGGAGCTTGCAGTGAGCCAAGATCACTCCACTGCACTCCAGCCTGGGCAACAAGAGCGAGACTCCATCTCAAAAAAATAAAATAAAATAAAAAAGAAATACTGTCTCAGCACGTCTGTATACATTTTTAATGAAATTCGTTTCCATGTGAGTTTCCCCATGAAATTTCTCCCATGGTGTAACCTTATGAACTTTAGAATTTATAATGTTTACTTGCACTAAACATTTATTGGATAAAGTAGTATAAAATACAGACATTAAGAAGCAGCATGCATTTATTTACTGTCATCCTCTGAGCTATCCGGGAAGAGATTTAGATTTTTTTAAAAAAAAGGTTCTTAACTCTTTCCAGAGACCAGATCAAGCTAAATTTAAAAGATGAAAGATATTTCTTTTTTTTTTTTTTTTTTGAGATGGAGTCTCACTAGGTCACCAGGCTGGAGTGCAATGGCACGATCTCAGCTCACTGCAACCTCTGCCTCCTGGGTTCAAGCAATTCTCCTGCCTCAGCTTCCCGAGTAGTTGGGACTATAGGCGTACACCACCACACACAGCTGATTTTTGTATTTTTAGTAGAGACGGGGTTTCACCATGTTGGCCAGGATGGTCTCGATCTCTTGACCTCATGATCCGCCCACTTTGGCCTCCCAAAGTGCTGGGATTACAGGCATGAGCCACTGTGCTCAGCCTTGAAAGATATTTCTAATATAACCAAGGCCTAAACATGTAGAGATTAAAGGGAACACTAAGGCATTGACTACTGTTTTATTTATTTAGCAAAATGAGCGAATAACTGCTTCCTTGTCTATAGAAAGCACTCCCCACATATAACAACATTTGTTCTCTCTGGAGGGCCCTGATCTATGACCTTACTAACATCCAGGGATCCCGAATCCAGGAGCCTGTGGTACCAGGCAGATAAAGTAAAGAAGTGAAGCAGGTCAGGTGAGACTGCGGTGGTCTGGTGCTACCATTCCCATCTGAAGGAGCATCCATCTGATTCTAAACCCCACCCAATTTGTGCCATGCAGGTTGCTGGCCCAGTGTTTCCAGAACTTCCAGTTATTCAAGAGATGTTCCATATCCCAGTTTTTAAATGTCGGATCATATTGTGAATACTAGGCCAGCTAAATAAAACATCTGTGGAGCAAAGCAGTCCACATGTTGCCATTTTGTGACCTTGGCCACAGCTTATTCTTGCCATCTATTGCAATGTACTAGCTTACATTCCCACTTAAAGTGTACATTTCATTGAACTTGCCTAGGGAATGTACCTATTAGGTTAAATATCCATTATCTCTGTGTGAGGTTTCCTTAAGGGGCTACCCATAAAGCTTTATTATGTGATACCTCCTTTCCTTTGGAACAATTAAAAAGAGTGCAAAGAAATATGTGCTCCTTTTTAAATATATAGGACTTTTTTCCCAGCCTGTGTCCTGCAGCTTCACCGCTAAAGCCTTAACTCACATTTCAAATTGGTCTGATCTGTTAGCCCAGCAACTCAGCAGAAGCTGCAGAGGAAATGGAGCAAGAGTGAGTGGCCATTTGTTATTTAGTAAAATAGGATTTTGTTGTCTGTCTAGCCCTGTTGCCTAGCTCAAATTGAGCAGTTTTTCTCCAGTATTTTAAACTAACAATTTGAGTAATACAGAACAGTAATCCTAGGATTTCTATCTGTTGTGCTAACTTCACTCCTATTTGAACTGATAATACTCTCGCAGACATTATCAGTTCTCTCATTTCACTAGTCTAGGACTCATTCACCTTGTTTAATTTTTAATCTCCAGACCTCATTAATTGAGGTCTAACTTGTGCTAGGCAATATTGTACACAGAGAAAACTAAAAAGATTTGATCCCTTTCCCTTCAGAGTTTACTCTCTCAAATAGAAGTTGACTATGCTATAATTGCCAAGGGCATGTGACGCTGTGCAATGTCCCAGCTTTGTTTTGTTTTGAGACGGGCTCTTGCTTTGTTGTCGAGGCTGCTTTGAACTCCTGGCCTCAAGCAATCCTCCCACTTCAGCCTCCCAAAGTGCTGGGATTATAGGAATGAGCCACCATGCCCAGCCTATCTCAGCTTACTTTGATGGTAGATTTTGCTGCCTCTAAACAGTCATTTAGCCAAACTGATTTGAAAGTAGAGTGCTATTAACAGCTAAAATGGAGGTTTCTTTCTTAACATATGAAACCCATTAGAAAAGAACAAGCAGAAGTATAATGTGTTTCCCCCCAACACCCATCCCTACCCTATAAAGTACATAAAGATCTTTCCTTTATTACACAGTACACCATAGGGAAGGTTTAGGAGACATTGGTGCCTTAACCTTACATACTTGTATTGGTTTTTGGCCAGGATCATGCACCAGGGAGACCAAGGATAGATTTCCATCAATAATGCCTTACAGCAAAATTATATTATCTTTCATAAGAGTTACCATCTGGGTGATCATGCCCCTCTGACTCCAACACATCCTAATAACTCCAGCTTCTACAAAAGCAAGAGTTAACAGGAACTCTGAACATACATGCAGTGACAGGAAGGCACAACCAGATGCAGGCACTTCACTAGCACAAACCACAAGTTAGGCATGCAAGAAGAGAGCTTTAATAGAGCCTGCTCACGACTCTTCAGTGTCTTCACCCGTCAATTCTGAGGGCAATAACATAAAGCTTACCAGCCCAAGGTTGTAATTTAGTGGGAAGCTGGGGCTTCCTTCTGCCTCCTGCTGCTTAGCAGTGGCTCTCTCCTCACAGACTTTAACTCTGCAGGCAGATCTGGGAGCTGTTTGATTTCTCTCTGCTTTGCATCAAATTCTACTCCCATTTACTGCTGAAGAGAAGCAGAGCTTTCTGACCTATCCAAAAGTTTCCATTGTTGTCTGCTCAACTATAATGCTTCCTTGGAGGTGGAGGACGGTTCTTGATGGTCTTACACTTGGGAATGTGTTGCTCAGCCACCTTGGGAGCAAAGTGGTGGCTACAGTGAGGACACTGAATGTAGTCTGGGTTTTCTGCAGGCAGGATGGGAGGCAAGTGTGAACGGTTTTCACCTTTGGCAGTTACCTGCTGGACCTCTCGAGCCTGGCGGAGCGTATGGATGAAAGATTCGTGCTTCTGTCTCCAGTTGTTCTTCCGAGGAGGTTCAGCCTGTAATGTAAATGGGAGACTGATCATTCAACTTGGCACCTATCTCCTTCCTGAGTCTCTTTTAGAATAACAGTAAGAAAATGAAAAGGGTACTAATCAGCAAGGTCAAAGAACAGGAAAGGAGCAACAGTGGTAACTGACTTGCCAGCGTTGAGGCAAACCAAGGGCCTGCAAAGGAGGTACTGCTGAGAGGCAAGCCACTTTCCCAACAGAATCCAGAGAGGTTCAGTGCTTGGAAGTACCAGATAGTGGAAAGTAAGGAGGTACAGGACTGAAAACAAGCAGGACCCCACGGCTCCTCCCACCTTACACATCCAAGTGTCCAACACCCAGGCACACTCACAGAAGAGCAAGGATTTATTCTCTGGAGAAATTGAACCAGACTTCTGACTCAGGAAATCCAGACGGTGAAACTGGGTTAATCTTGGGGCTGAAAATGGGGATTAAGTACAAGTGTACATACCAAATTATGGAACTGTCAGCCTCCTTCCCCCGCTCAGCCCCCAGAGGACCAAGCAGATTGACATCCTCATAGGAAAAAGAGGGGTTCTCTGGATACACGGAGCAGTCCAGAGAAAAGTCTTCAGATACTGACCTTGGGAGACACTAATTAAAAGACTCACTATTTGGTAACTTTAATATGAAGATCCTTAGTCAACAAGCCCCACTTAAGCTTAAATATGAAAGGACAGCCAGGAATCATCAGATATTTACTAAAAGCTCTAACAAGAAAAAGAGCCCAGAAAGTCCACAAACAAAAACCTAGGAAGCAGCAACAAGGCAGGTGGCAGAAAAAAACTGTGTTTTAACATGAGACCATATCAACAAAATGAGTATTAGAAGAGATTATGTCCATAAAACAAGAAGAGTATACTATGAAAAAAGACAACCAGAGAACCAGAAAGAACTATTATAAATCAAAACTTTGATAGCTAAAAATAAAAATTATTTAAATAGAGGACGGGCGCAGTGACTCATGCCTATAATCCCAGCACTTTGGGAGGCCGACGTGGGCAGATCACGAGGTCAGGAGATCAAGACCATCCTGGCTAACAGTTAAATTCTGTCTTTACTAAAAATACACAAAATTAGCCAGGCATGGTGGCACACGCCTGTAGTCCCAGCTACTCAGGAGGCTGAGGCAGAAGAATTGCTTGAACCCAGAAGGCAGAGGTTGCAGTGAGCCAAGATCGTGCCACTGCACTCCAGCCAGGGCAACAGAGCAAGACGCTGTCTCAAAAAATAAATAAATAAATAGAAATGTTGTAAACTAATGTCAAGAAAATTTCTCAGAATGGGAAAAAAGATGAAGATGGAAAGTAAAAAGAAAAGATTAGAAAATTAGAAAGTTAATCCTGGAAGTCCAACATGTGACCAGTAAGAGTTCCAGAAGGAGCAGAGAAAGCACAAGGAGAAAATTATTATTATTATTATTATTATTATTATTATTTTGAGATGGAGTCTCGCTCTGTTGCCCAGGCTGGAGTGCAGTGGCACAATCTTGGCTCACTGCAACCTCAGCCTCCTGGATTCAAGCGATTCTCCTATCTCAGCCTCCCAAGTAGCTGGGACTACAGGCGTGCGCCACCACACCAGCTGATTTTTGTATTTTTAGCAGAGACGGGGTTTCACCATATTGGTCAGGCTGGTCTCGAACACCTGACCTCAGGTGATCCACCTGCCTCAGCCTCCCAAAGTGCTGGGATTATAATCATGAGCCACAGCACCTGGAGAGGAGAAAATTATTAAGGAAATAATACAATTAACATTCCTAGAATTAAAGGTCACACATTTTGAGACTGAAGTGGCTTACCCCAAGTATCCAGCACAATTATTGTAAAGTTTCAGAATTTCAAAATAAATAGAGAATCCCGTAGCCTTTAAAAAAAAAAAAAAAAGGTTTCTTGTAATGAAACAGGAATCAAAATGGCATTAGATTTCTCAACAATACACTGGATGCTACGAGCTAGTGGGAAATACCTTAAAAGTTCTAACAGAAGACCGGGCGCGGTGGCTCAAGCCTGTAATCCCAGCACTTTGGGAGGCCGAGACGGGTGGATCACGAGGTCAGGAGATCGAGACCATCCTGGCTAAAACGGTGAAACTCCGTCTCTACTAAAAAATACAAAAAACTAGCCGGGCAAGGTGGCGGGTGCCTGTAGTCCCAGCTACTCGGGAGGCTGAGGCAGGAGAATGGCGTAAACCCGGGAGACGGAGCTTGCAGTGAGCTGAGATCCGGCCACTGCACTCCAGCCTGGGCAACAGAGCGAGACTCCGTCTCAAAAAAAAAAAAAAAAAAAAAAGTTCTAACAGATAATCATTTTCCTCCTAGAATTCTGTACCTAGCCGAAGCATCAAATGGGGGCCTGTTACACAGATAGTGTCATTCATTCCAAGACAGTATACCTGCTGTGCACCTTTCTTATTAGTAAGTTTCAGCAAAGGAAGGAGTAATGCAAGAACAAAGAAGACATGATGCTGGAAACGGGACCCAACAAAGAAGAGAAGCAAAGAGAAGTCCCAAGACAATGGGTTTGCACCAGGCCTAGAGAATAACCAGTCCAGGCTGGAGCAGAAGGGATCAGAGTGGTGGAAGGGAGGTTTTCAGAATAAAAAATCAAACTGATAGATTATGAGAGGTGTTTGAGCATTACAAAAACGTTAACAGATGTCATATCAGATGGATCATTGTGGGGGAAAAAAAAGACAGGTATGTAGAAAATGAAGGAAATGAAAACATACATCCATTATTAACTCTAGGTACATGTGGGCAGAGACAGAATTTGTTCACTCATTAATGAACAAAATGTACATGATCATTACAATGTGAAAGCTAACTTCTTTTAACCAAAAATTGTGATTCAACTACAGTGGAAGGGTAAGAGAAGGACAACAGTAGGAGAGAGGGAATATGAAAGAGAATTTCACTCCCAGCTTCCGTAAGAAGTTACCAGGTAGACCAGGCATTGTGGCTCACGCCTGTAATCCCAGCACTCTGGGAGGCTGAGGTGGGCAGATGACTTGAGGTTAGGAGTTCAGGACCAAGTTGACCAACATGGTGAAACCCTGTCTCTACTAAAAATACAAAAATTAGCCGGGTGTGGTGACGGGCGCCTGTAATCCCAGCTACTTAGGAGGCTGAGGCACAAGAATTGCTTGAACTTGGGAGGTGGAGGTTGCAGCAAGCCAAGATCAAGCCACTGCACTCCAGCCTGGGCGACAGAGACTCCGTCTCAAAAAAAAGAAAAAAAGGAAAAAAAAAGGTAATGTAGAAAATTGATAAATCAAGAAAATAAACATATTATTTAGAAATATGGAAAGGCAGGCCAGAAGAACCATCTAACAGAACTGAAGGCTGCCTCCGGGGGCTGAATTAGGGGCTCCAGTATAGGTCAGTCAGTACTACATGATTTTGTAAATGCATGCAAACACTATTAAATTTTTAAAAGAGAAAAAGACAAACAGCTCTTGGTGATCTGGCATTGTTAATGATGAATAATAGGAAGAGAGACTATTGAAGGAAAAGAAAGGATCCTTCGGAAAGTCTCTTGCTGAAACAGACAAGAAGGCAAGAGAGTGTTAGTGATGGTAACCAGGAACCTTTAAAAGATTCGAAGGCCAGGCACGGTGGCTCATGCATGTAATCCCAACATTTTGGGAGGCCGAGGCGCGTGGATCACAAGGTCAGGAGTTCAAGACCAGCCTGGCCAAGATGGTGAAACCCCGTCTCTACTAAACATACAAATTAGCCGGTGTAGTGATGGGCACCTGTAATCCCAGCTACTCAGGAGACTGAGACAGAGAATTCCTTGAACCCAGTAGGTGGAGGATGCAGTGAGCTGAGATCGCGCCACTGCACTCCAGCCTGGGCAACAGAGTGAGACTCTGTCTCAAAGAATTTGATCAGGGGAAAGTTCCTCAAGTGTATGAGATACTTTAGTAATTTACTTCTTATACTCTAATTCCTCAATTTTATTCCTCATTATACTGAAATTCTATTCAGTTAACACTTATTAAGCACAAAGCACAAAGATATGTTCCCTGTCCTCAAAAATGCTTACAGTCCAGGAGAGAGACGGGGTGTACATCTGCTGGAAATTACGTGAAGATTAAAGGATACCAGGAAAATCACCTGTTCTTGAGTACTCTATAGGAATGACAGGAAGGTACAACCACTGAGCTTCCAAAGGCACAGCACTGTGGAATAAGATTTGAGACATTACCAGGGTGGTGCAGGTGCATCTTAGTCTAGGTCCCTTCTGTCTTGGTGTCCTCAATGTCACACATTCCCCCAAACTAGTTGCCATAAAGCTGGAGCATCTGATCTCAGGAACCTAATTATTTTGCTTCACCGTAACTGTATTTACGAATTTAAGAAACACAAGATTATTTTAGGCTCTGACCAAAAATAAATTGCTACAGTGGGACAGAATGAATTCCCAGTGGATTATTGGGTTGAACTGAAAGAAAACAGGAAAAAACAGTGAGTGGCCATCACATTATTCTCTGCAAGAGCAAAATGTTGATTTCTTCTTTGGAAACTAGATTTCAGGGAGATGATCTCTGAACATGGATGGGACTTCCTTGTGATTTCCCCAAACTGTACTGAAAAAAAGAACTCTAATTGTAAACAATTTCTTCTAACAACCATCATATAAATGTGAGTTTTTAAAGGCGCCAGCAAATATCAGAAACTGTAAGGTCCCAATGGACAAGAGGTGCCAGCACAGTGGAGGGAGGGCTGGGAAGAAATGAAAACAGAATGACACTCTCTTATTTTTCTGGAATATTAGAACTAGACAGGGCCTCTGAGATCATACGGTCTACACTTTCTCAAACTTCAATCATCTGCACTTTCACTTCATCCTTACAATTAATTAATATTCTTCTGTAAATTTACGATCCCTGGAAATCAGGGGCTTAATATATTGTTATATTTTCCTAATATAACACTGAAACACTAAACACTAAAACTACTAAAATAAAGCTTGTCAGTGTGCCACACCTTGAGAAATAACCATTTTATAAACCAAGTGGCAAAACCTTGACATGTCATTCATTTATGAGATAATCTTCTCCAGATGTGTCCAAATGTGCCTATGAAGTTCACCTAAATTTATCATGTAAGTGTCACGAAGCCCTTACTTTTTACAACCTGGTTTTTCTAAAGGGAGAAATAATTGGCAAGGGCATGGTTTGTTAGATAACCAGAAAGTCCTTTTTACCTTCAAGGTGTTTACGTTCTAAATGGGGAGAAAAAGAATTCCAAACTTAATTGTGTTTCATCTATTTACAAAGAAACTATGTCAACACTGATCTTTTTTTTTTTTTTTTTTTTTTTTTTTTTTTTTTTTTTTTTTTTTTTTGAGATGGAGTCTTGCTCTGTCGCCCAGGCTGGAGTGCAGTGGTGCGATCTCGGCTCACTGCAAGCTCCGCCTCCTGGGTTCATGCCATTCTCCTGCCTCAGTCTCCCGTGTAGCTGGGACTACAGGCGCCCACCACCTCGCCCGGCTAATTTTTTTGCATTTTTAGTAGACATGGGGTTTCACCGTGTTAGCCAGGATGGTCTTGATCTCCTGACCTCGTGATCCACCCGCCTCAGCCTCCCAAAGTGCTGGGATTACAGGCGTGCGCCACCGCGCCTGCCAACACCGAGCTAATCTTAACAGAGTACATAGTTAAAGGAATGGTCACAGATTCTAGTCTTGGGAGGTGGCAGAATACATTGCAAAGAGTGAGGCGTTCTCTCCAGGTGACAAAAGCCTGCATATTTTTTCTTTAGATTTTTTGTGTCTTTTAAATTTTCAACAGTAAACTTTTATTACTTTTATAATCCAAAGGACACAAATTCTTGGTCTAGATTTTTTAGTCATTCTAACCAAGATTTATATGCTGACTCTGCCACTTAAAGCTGTTTGTGACCTCAAGCAAGTTACTTAGCCTGTCCAAGTCTTGATTTTTGAACTGATAAAATGAGAGAGAATGCGAGGATCACATGCAAAGCTCCCATCACAATGCTGACATACAGTAGTAATCAAGAAATGTTAATTCTAGACATCAATTCTTCCTACATGACACATGAATTTTCCCTAAAGAAAACTGATGATGACAAAACAGACCCCTACAATGATCCCCACACCAAGTCACATCCATAAGGCTCTTGTTACCTTGGCTGAAGCTGGCCCCTTCCAGTTTAAGTACTGCTCTAGTTCTGTGCCCTTAGCCCGGGCCCTGGAGGAGTCAAACACTTTCCTCTTGGAACCCTGCATCCTGCTGCAGATGTTGGAGTGTCTCTCCAGCCTGAACAAGAGGAATTTTCGCCCACAGTGGCTGCACTCACCCAGTTGTGGCTCTTCAGTGGAGCCGCTGGAACCTGAGGAGTCTGGTGCCATGGACAGGCTGGAATTTCTGGCAGATCCCTGCAAAGCACCGCCTGGTGTTTCTGAAGGCGGGAAGAACTTCTCCATCGACGGCTCTGAGACTCGGTCTCGAATTTTGTTATTGCTTGCTACCAGCCTTTCCCTTTTGAGTCTCTGGATTCTATAATCAGAGAGCTGGAATGGACTCGAATTTTGTTGAGACCGTCCCCAAGTTTCATCCTCTCTCCTGTCTCTACTAAATTCTTCCTCAAAATCAAATTCTGGGGAGAAGACAGCTTTGTGCGTGGTGTTGCTGTTATTACCTTTAACTCTGCTCCTGGGGAATATAATTTTCTGTAGCTCTCTGTTTTCATTTTCCTTGGCCTGTTCCTTTTGCGTCTGGATCCTTCTGAGTTCCTCCTCTGTCTTCTTCAGCTTTCCCCTCAGGAGAATCTGCTTTCTTCGGATTTCCTCCTCTAAGCTCTCCCCTGCAGCTTCTAGTCTTCGGATCTGCACCCACTCCGTCCTGTCCAAGTTTGCCAAGGCCTTCTCCGCCTGCATGGCAGCAAGAACAGGATCAACCACAGAAAAGTTGACCTGGTTCCTCACATCAAAGTTCCTGGATGAAAATTCTCTCAGTTCAGGGGGCCTTGGGTAGATATTCTGGTCCCCATCAGTGCCAGACTCACCTGTACTGCACGACTTCCTGTGGACCACGGGTTTCAGTGGGTACGCCCGGTCCACTCCAACTCGTTTCTTTGTAAAGGGGATAAAGTCCTGGTTATTGGCTTTGGGATACCAGGATTGAGGGCCTGATGAGTAAAACAAACCATTTCCTTGGCCCTGGAAATCACTTCCTGCCTCTTGGTGGCTGATTCCAGTACAGTGGGGATAGGAGTAGCTCTGGGCTTTTGTGTGAGTGTTCCATTTGGGGTGAGTATAGACTTTATCCAGAGTCAACTCTTTGTTGCTCAAAAGCTGCTTCTGGAAATTGTTCCTCAGGTGCCCCTTCAAGGACTGCTGGGAAGAGTCACTTTGTTCGTAAGAGTCTTGCTTGGCTGAGTGGGGTCCTGGAGCTTCTGTTGTATTATGTGGAAGCATAACGCCCACAGGCAGATGTGATGCCAACCGCTGGAGACCAGCCATTCAGGGCCTGGACTGATGCCTACGGGAGATTTAAACCAGATACATGCGAAGAGTTTGTCTGAGGTTCACTCTCGTCTGCTAAAGCAAACTATTTCTACATTTGCCCTGCCCACATTTCCTTAAACTTTTCTGGGGACAGTGGTGCTGGATCTGCCAAAGCTCCCCTTCAAAAACCATTTGGTGAGTGATTACTATGCACAAGACACTGTGTTAGGCCCTGAGGGTAGAAAAACGGAGGTGCTACAGGTGTTCCTGCCACCTAACTTTCCTCTCCTCCAGCACCAGCCTCTGCCACGCACAGTATACTCTATAGTAAGTGGAAAGAGCATCGGATTGAAAGTCAGGTTTTAGGCCTGTAACAGGACAAGCGACTTCTCCCTTGCTGGCCCCCATTTCTTCACCTGTAAACTGAAGGGTTCCGTCCGAGTCCAGCCTCACCATTTTACAGGTGAGCAAGCTGTGGCCCAGTGACTGGCACAAAGAGCTCTCAGGGCTTCCCTCCTGCTGGAACTGTGCTTGATTCAAAAGAGCACAGAGGCTGCTAGGGCCTGGAGCAGGTGCCTGACTGTCAAACCCTCTTCCCAGGAGTCCCCATGGCGCAGACGGTAAAAGTTTTGTAACCTGAGCGTTGAGGGCCACCTGACCTGGCTGCAGCCGGTTTTAGATCCTTAAGGCTGAAGTCACGTTCTGTCCCGAAGGGTCAACTGGGGCGCCCCCACTACGGACTCCGCCTCTGGGGACAAGCCCTCTCTCTCTCCTGCCCTTCGGGCCCTTAGGAGGTGCTGACCCTCTGTCTCCCCGCCCTTCTGCGTACCTGAGGCCCTCGGGCACCGCTCCTGCTCAGGGAAAACCCCAGGGCCTAGTTTCCCAGACCCGACCTCCCCCTCAACCGACGGCCGCGCAGGCGCTCTCAGCTAGCTTCTGTTATTCCCGGTGCCTGGAGACAGAGTTACGGGCGGGCCAAGCTCCGCCCCTCGCTGCGAACTCCTTGGGGAGGCGTGCGCAGGCGCAGTGCACCAGCGACCCGGGGCGACCGGGGGTGGGGGTGCGGTCAGCCCGAGCGTCACTTGACCCAGTTAGTGTCCGGCCAACTCTGCAGCCGGGTCCACCCCTGCCCTTGGGGAGCCGGGGAAGGGCGGGAGAGGCTTTTCTGGGGCTCCATCAAAGAAGAACTTGTACTTTCCTGAGAACGATGCTCCCAGACCTTGGGGTGTGCCCTTCACTGGCAAAGGGCGGAGGCCCCGGCTGTGCCTCCGCGTGCTTCCGCCGCAGGGTGCAGGCGACCGCCTGCCTGGTGGGAGCGGGGCTGCTGCTGGCCTTTCTCGGCGCGCTTGGCTGCGCTGGGCGGGCCCCAGGTATGGCTGCACGTGCGCGCTCCCTGCTTGTCGTCGCCAAGTCTTTGGAACTTGCTGCCAACGTTTTTGCTACGCAGTATCTTTCCGGGGTAATTTTTGTGGCCAATCTAATTATTTTGATATTATAATGTTTTACTCTTACGTGGTAACTCTAGCCGTCTGTACTTAGAGCCTAGGAATAACTCAGCCAAATGTAATGATAATAAAGAACTACCAGATCGAAAATAATCAGTATAACCTGGTTTCAACAGTAAATGATACTCTGTAACTTGTTGACATCAAAAGAAAGTTTTTTTTTTTTTTCTTCGCTTCAGTTCATCTGTGTAGGCCGTTGGGAACAGGCAGTTCGCTTTTTCCCTGTAACTACTCAATTCATGCACTTGGAAAATAATGTAGACAAGCAGTCATCAGTGTTAATACCTCAACATGTCATATTACAGCTGTTACCTGTTACAAAGAAATTCCTTGGTGGACCCTCCAGGTCAGTCCTCCTTTTTTTTTCTTTTTTTTTTTTTAATTCCTCGTTTTCATCCCTAGTTGACTGTACCACCTCTACATATATGCAGCTCCAGATGTTTCCCACTCTACTCAGGGTCCCAATTATCAACTCCCGCAGCTTCCCTCAGCAGAATGTACCGGCTTTCTCTTTCTCTCTCTCTCTCTCCTCTTCCTTCTCTCCCTTTCTCCTCTGTCTCTGTCTGTCTCTGTCTCTGTCTCTCTCTCTCCCTCTCTCCTTCCCTCTCCTCTATGAGAAAGAAGGGCCACTTTCCATGAGTTCTCTTGAATTAGTGCTTTTCAGTACCCTCCGGGAATTGAGTCCATCACTTTACCCCAGCGTTTTGTTTTTGTTTTCTGTTTTGTTGGTTTTGAGGGTTTTTTTAAATTTGTTTGTTTTTTGAGACAGAATCTCACGCTGTTGCCCAGGCTGGAGTGCAGTGGCGCAATCTCAGCTCACTGCCACCTCCGCCTCCTGGGTTCAAGTGATTCTCCTGCCTCAGCCTCCCGAGTAGCTGAGATGACAGGCGTCTGCCACCACACCTGGCTAATTTTTTGTATTTTTAGTAGAGACGGAGTTTCACCATGTTAGCCAGGCTGGTCTTGAACTCCTGACCCCAGGTGATCCGTCTGCCTCAGCCTCCCAAAGTGCTGGGATTACAAACATGAGCCACCACGCCCGGACTTTGTTTGTTTTGAGATAGGGTCTCATTCTGTCGCCCAGGCTGGAGTGCAGTGGCACAATCACTGCTCACTGCAGCCTCGACTTCCACAGCTCAAGCGATCCTCCCACCTCAGCCTCCTGAGTAGCTGGGACTACAGGTGTGTGCCCCTCACACCCAGCTTACTTTTTTTTTTTTTTTTTCTATAGAGACAGGGTCTCCCTTTGTTACCCAGGCTAGTCTTAAACCCCTGGAGTCAAAAGAGATCCTCCCGCCTCAGTCTCACAAAGTACTGAGATGATAGACGTGAGCCACAGCATCCTGTCTGCATCTTGTTAACTTCAAGTTATACCTCTCCATCAACTCCATCTCTTTGGTTTTAAAATATACTCAACTTTCTCCTGCAAAACAAACCTTACTTCCCATGACCTAACTTTCATATTATGGTCCCATTCATTTCTTCTCTTCTCCACAAGTCTTCTTAATGGAAATCTCCACATTTGCTGCCGACATATGCTCATCTCCCTGTCACTGTCCAGTTATTGTGGCCTGGCTTCTACTTTCTCCACTTTATTTAACTACAAAGCTACCAGTGACCTTCCAAAGACAAAAGCTTCATTTCTTCAGCCTACTCATGTGGCATTATTGATTATCCACCCACTTAGAATGCTCTTCTCAGTTCTCCTGTGCCCTCTTGGTTTCTTCTTTCGTGTTCTTGCTCCATCTTCTTCCAAGTCTCTGGCATTTATCTTTTCCCCATCTGCCCCCTAAATTTAAGTGTTTTCTGAAGCCCTCTTATTTCTTATATATATATATGTAGTTCCAGACATTCTCTTCTTTAACGATTTCAACCAAATGCTGAAATTTCAGGTTTCACCTGTGTTTAAATAACAGCCAGCTTAGCTTTAGTCTTTCTCATTAGTTACAGACTCAAATTTCGGGACTGCCCATTTGACACCTCCACAAGATCGTTCCTTAGGAACCTCAAATTCTGTAAGACACCATAAACTCATGATCCTCTCCTGTTCTCAAATCTGCTTCTGCAGTGTGCCCTTGCATGCTCACAGCATCAGTCTTCCATGCTTCCCTCTTAGTTGCCTCTTCCTTCTAACTAATCACAAGTTTTATTGAGTTTTCTTCCTTTTTTTTCTTTGAGACAGAGTCTTGCTCTATCATCCAGGCGGGGGTGCAGTGGCATGATCTCAGCTCACTGCAACCACCTCAAGCCATCCTCCTGCCTCGGCCTCCCTAGAAGCTGGGACTACAGGTGTGCACCACCATGCCCAGCTAATTTTTGTATTTTTAGTAGAGATGGGGTTTCATCGGGCTCAAACTTCTGACCTCAGGTGATCCACCTGCCTTAGCCTCCCAAAGTGCTGGGATTACAAATGTAAGCCTGGCCTATTGAATTTACTTCTGCCATGTCTCTCATATATGACTCTTCCTTTACATTTCTGCCTGCTGCCCCGGGTGAGTTTTTCCTCACTTCTCCTTGGGATGGCATAGCCCTCCTAACTTCTGTTCTTGCCTTCAATATCTGCTCTTCAAACCCAGCCTTCATGCTGCAGCCAAAATAATCAGTCTAAATATTTCTCCACTCCCCCAGTTTTATTAAGGTATAATTGACAACTAAAAATTTTGTCTATATTTGCAGTGTACAGTGATGTTTTGATACATGTATGCATTGTGCAGTGATTAAATCAAGCTAATTACTAAATACTTCTGATCCTACCATTTCCCTCCCCAGTAGCTTCTTCTTCACCTAGAGAATAAAGTTGAAGTGCATAATTTAGCATGGCATTTCTATCTCCCAGATTAGGTCCAGCCTACCTTTTCAGTTTTGCCTCCCCTTAATAAGCCACAGAGTCCAACCCAGTGAGTCTCATCCCTGGCTGTGTGTTAAGACTACTTGGAAAGCAATATCTAGGGGTGAGACCTGAGGATTAACATTTTTTAAAGCTTCCCCAAAGATCCTGATGCACAAGCAGGGTAGCGGACCCCTGGTCCAGCCACAACTGGCTACTTGTACTTCTTCATCTGCATGGTACTACCTTACTCTAAGCTCCACATACTGGGAGCTGGTAGAGCATAGCATTCACGGGAGTTGACTCTGGAACCAAATCCCAGCTCCATCACTTACTGGTTGTGTGACCTTGGATTAAATGCTGTTTCCTTTAAGAACCCTTTCCCAATCTTCCCAATCAGAATTAATTTGTTTGCTCCTTTGTAATATTTTCTGTCCTTGTTATAGCACAGGGCTGGTTCCTGATGAGCTCTCAATGGATTTTCATTTCATAGAATTAAATTATCATGCCGTACATTTTATTGTCATTATTTGCATGCATATGTGCCCCTATACCAAATTAAAAACTCTTCGAGGGCAAAGATTATATATCGTTCATCTTTGTATATTCTAGAGTGCCCCATACGTATTGGACACTCAGTAAGTTTTGAATTCTATAAACTATTTTTTAAATGAATTTTAGAGAAAGAAATACCATTAGCAAGATACTCTATTTAGAGTTATTTTCAAATATTGCCAAGTACAACATTCAGTCCAGCTTGTTCACCACCAACCCCCTGCCTCAACACTAAGGTTGCATGATTCTCTAGGACATGGATCCTCACTCTGTAGCAGGGAATTAGCAGAATGATGAATTTCCGTGCCTACTGTCACAAACCCGTATCTCATTGTCAGGTCTGCCAACCTGGCATATTCGCATAAGGAGTCTTATGTTATGAAGCGGTATAATATATACAATCAATCCACAAAGGATCAGTAAACACCAGTTTTCCTTCACACACATTATGAATCATAAGAGCAGCTGGATTCAAATGTTCACACATCAACTCTAATTTTAACCATCCTCATCCACATCCCCCTTGACAATTCCCTTTTCCCAAAATAAATTTATGTAGTTTGGCCATTTGACTTAGACTGACTGATTCAACTGTAATTCTGGAGCCATTAATTATTTTGCTTGTGCTCTTGCTTTGTTTGATTAGTTATTTGTTCAAGCATTATTTGACATTTTCTTAGTAAAGGAGACCGGTGAGTAGCTTCCAGAAGCCCAGAAGCAGACGTAACCTCCATTGGGACCTCCTGTGCACTTATGCCCCTGTAATCCCCTATTCCAGATTAGTTATGACCCAAACTTTAAGAACTGAATGAAAAGGGACAGAAAGGTTGGATGTATCCTACTCAACATATTTTTGATGTTTATTTTTTATTTTATTTATTCATTTATTTATTTGAGACAGAGTCTCACTCTATTGCCCAGGCTGGAGTGCAGTGGGGCAATCTCGGCTCACTGCAGCCTCCACCTCCCGGGTTCAAGCGATTCTCCTGCCTCAGCCTCCCGAGTAGCTGGGATTACAGGCGCCCGTCACCACGCCCGGCCAATTTTTGTATTTTCGGTAGAAACGGGGTTTCACCATATTGGCCAGGCTGGTCTCGAACTCCTGACCTCAAGTGATTCGCCCGCGTTGGCCTCCCAAAGTGCTGAGATTACAAGCTATTTATGATATTTAATGTGTACTGTTTGTCTTTCACCTCCAGAATCAAGCTCCTTAGGACAGGGATGCTGTTTTGTTCACTAATGTTTGCCAGGTCACCTAGAACAGGTGCCTGGCACACAGTAGCTGTCAGTCGGTATTTAATTGAATGATTGAATGTATCCCAATGTACTTCTTCGTCTATGCTTTTCTCCCCATGAGAAAATGAGAAGAGGGGTGCGTTTGTTGACTGAGATGGGATGAGGGCTAGGTTTGTGGAGGACCAGCCGAGTTCCTGGACAGATCCCCAACCCAAGCTTTTGGGTTGCCGGACAACCGCGTCCTGAAATCCCGCCTTCTGGGCGGGCACGGGCCGAGGCTCCCCCTCTGATTGGCCAGCTGGAGGTGATGGGCATGAGAGACAGCGAAGGAGCAGCTACACACTAAACTTCCGGGCGCGGAGGTCTGCGCGCCCTGGTGAGCCGTTGGCCTGGTGGTCTCGCAGTGAGCCCGGCGGCCGGTGGGGAAGTCAAGGAGGGTGAGCCGGGAGGGGCCCCCGGGGTGTGCTTGTCAGGTCGATTAGCCTTAAAATGTTAGTAGCAGGGGATTCTGGGTGTTAGTAGCAGGAGATTCTGGTAGTGAGGGAGCGGGACCGGGAATGGATGTAAGGAGGTCATCGGTCAGCAGGTGATTTCCCCAGAAGAGGCTTCAGCGGGCAGCTGCGTACCGAAGCTCCCTCTCCCGGCGTCTGGCTCTTCCTTCACACACGCCTTATCACATCCACTCACGATTCCCATTTCCAGGACCTGGAGGTCGGGGAGAGGTCGCAGTGGTTAAGGATGGACAGGGGTGGGTGTGGCCCTTTCTGACTCAGGCTTGCGGGTCCTGGAATAATAGCCCTTCACTCTTCTGCTTTCTTGGTTTCTGACAGGTTTGAGCATGGCAGAAGGAGACACCCTGTTATCAGTGGATTATGAAATTTTTGGGAAGGTGCAAGGGGTGTTTTTCCGCAAGTATACTCAGGTATGTGGCCTGCAGGCTTTGGGGTGGTAACCTAGGTTGTGGGCATAGGAACAAGGGACATGTTCCTGCCAAATGTGAACTGGAAGCCGCTGGCCAGCTGCATGGCAAAGAGGTAGTTTGTAGAGCAATGAGTATGAAAATGCTGTGCAATCGGTAAAACATGGTGTAAATGGAAGATTATCCTGCTGTTATTATTGGTCTTTTTCCAACAGTGGTGCCTGAGCATCTAGACACACATATTAATGAGCTTCTCTCTTCCAAGGGAAATAGAGGGCTTCACCAGTTCTCGCTGTTGTGGCGTCATCAAACCAAGTCAGATTTCTTATAGAAAGGCTAACATTGATTGAAGAGATGGCATTTAGATGACCTGATGTCATGTATATAACACATATAAATGCTTCCTCTGTAGCTGCTGCAGTTTCTTCAGACCTCTTTCTCCAAGCTTCCCTCAATTCTCCACTTAATTCCTTTCTATTCTTTTTTTGGTTTTGAAAGAACATTTACCTTTTCCAGCTGACGTTTTTCTTATTAAAAACTCTTTATCCGTTCCAGAATAGGTGATGGGAACACTGAATGTGGAGCTTGGTATTCTTCCTAGAGCAATAAGGGAGTATTTGAGGGGATGGACAAACTGTTGGCAGCCTCTACCTCTGCTTTAATGTGGTTAATCTTCCCTCAACCGGCACATATAAATGCAAGCTCAATTTCCCCTCTGCCTTCTGTAGGTATTGGCTATTGCCTTCCCGGTGTGTCTTTAATCCCACAGATAATGAGTTAGGACTGCAGAACTTCTTAAGTGTCTCCTTCCTGGGACTGTGGTACTTAAAATTCAAATTCTAACCTGGAAGGAATCTTTGAAATATGAATGTGAATTGTCAATACTTTTTTTCCTTTTTCTTTTTTTCTCTGGAGGATGGTGGCACAGTCACAGCTCATTGCAGCCTTAACCTCCCAGGCTCAAATGATCCTCCTTCTTCAGCCTCCCAAGTAGCTAGGACCACAGGTGCATGCCACCACACCCAGCTTTTTTTTTTTTTTTTTTTCTTTTAATAGAGAGCTATGTTGCCCAGGCTGGTCTTGAACTCCTGGGCTCAAGTGATCCTTCTACCTCTTTTTCTTTTTTCTTTTTTCTTTTTTTTTTTTGTTTTCTTGAGACAGAGTTTCACTCTTGTTGCCCAGGCTGGAGTGCAATGGCGCGATCTCAGCTCACTGCAACCTCTGCCTCCCGGGTTCAAGCGTTCTCCTACTTCAGCCTCCCAAGTAGCTGAGATTACAGGCATGCGCCACCATGCCCCGCTAATTTTGTATTTTTAGTAGAGACAGGATTTCTCCATGTTGGTCAGACTGATCTTGAACTCCCAACCTCAGGTGATCCGCCCACCTCGGCCTCCCAAAGTGTTGGGATTACAGGTGTGAGCCACTGTGCCCGGCCAATACCTCTTATTCTAATTATTCAGAAACCATTTCTTCCCATCTGACATTCAAATAGGAAATGACTGTTGAAAACAGAATTGCTGAAACTCATAGCAAGAGCTGTATTCCAATTAGCTTTGCTACCAATTACGCAGGTAAGTTCCTGTAAATTAAGGTGATTGAGATAATAGCTTCAAAGGTTAGTCAAAGTTGTTGAGGGAAAGGGGCCAGATAGTGGTATATATAGCCCATCCTTCTCTACCTGCCCTTCTCCCCAGTTTAAAGAAAGAATAACAGAATGCAGAAAAACAAATATTGATTGGAAAACTGCATATAAAATGACATCCTTTTTTTAATTAGGCTTGTAGCTTATTCTTTACTATTTATAATCATTTAAATATATATGTTCATTTGAACAGTTGTTTTGCTGCAGTCTGTTTGCTGTTGATATTATCTAGCCTCTTATTTAAATTCCTTCATTTCTAGAGAAGTGGCAAATAATAATTCAGGGACTTTTAAAAACTTGGAATATAATTTACATCCCAAAAAACCCATCCTCCTAAAGTGTATAATTTGGTGATTTTTAGTATATTCACAAAGTTGTGCACTAATTCCAGAACATTTTCATCATCCCAAAAAGAAACCCCCTACCTGTTAGCACTCACTCCTCATCCCCTAAACCCCTAATAACCACTAACCTACTTTCTGTCTCTATGAATTTGCCTATTGTAGATTTTTGTTGTTGTTGTTGTTGAGACGGAGTCTCAACTCTGTCTCACTCTGTCGTCCAGGCTGGAGTGCAGTGGCATGATACTGGCTCTCTGCAACCTCTGCCTCCCGCGTTCAAGTGATTCTTCTCCCTCAGCCTCCCAAGTAGCCAGGATTATGGGCATGCACCATCACGCCCCGTTAATTTTTGTATTTTTAGTAGAGACAGGGTTTCACCATGTTGGCCAGGCGGGTCTTGAACTCCTGACCTCAGGTGATGCACCTACCTTGGCCTCCCAAAGTGCTGGGATTACACTTATGAGCCACCATGTTCACCCTATTCTTGATATTTAATATAAATGGAATCATACAAATGTGGCCTTTTTTTGTGACTGGCTCCATTCACTTAACATATTGTTTTCAAGGTTTATCTACACTGTAGCATGTATTAGTATCCTATTCCTTTTTATGGCTGAATAATATCCCATTGTATGGATATACCACATTTTATTTATCCATTCATCAGTTGATGGAAATTTGGGTTTGATTTTTGGCCATTATGAATAATAGTGCTGGGAACACATATGTGCATATTTTTGTGTAGACAATGTTTTCAGTTCCATTGAGTATATACATACCTAGGAGTAGATTGCTGGGTCATATGGTAACTTTATGTTTAACTTTTTGAGGAACTGCCAAACTTTTCCAAAGCAGCTATACCATTTTATGTTCTCACTGGCAATGTGTGAGAATTCCAGTTTGTCCACATCCTTGCCAACGATGGTTACTGTCTTTTATGTTAGCCATCCTAGTGGGTATGAGGTAATATCTCATTGTGGTTGTTTGTTTGTTTTTCAGGTATTAATGAATTTAAAAGGATTTAAATCATATGAGGAATATTCTGCAACTACAGTGGAACTAAACCACATTAAAAAAAAATAAAAAAGATAACTGGAAAATCCCAAAATATTTGGAAACCATATAGCACACTTACTTCTAAAATTGTGGTAGAATACATATAACATAAAAATTACTGTTTTAACCATTTTAAAATGTACAATTCAGTGGTCTTAAGTACATTGTTCTATTTATCTACAGAACGCTTTTCATCTTGCAAAACTGAAACTCTGTATTCATTAAACGCTAACTCCCCATTTTCTCCTTCCCCCAAGCCCCTGACAATCATAAATCTACATTCTATTAATTCAACTATTCTAGTTACCTCATATAAGTAGAATTTTACAGTATTTGTCCTTTTGTGACTGGCTTATTTCACTTAGCGTAATATCCTCAAGGTTCATCTGTGTTATATCATGAAAGTAAAAACAATTTTCTTTCTTTGTAAGACTGAATAATATCCTGTTGTATGTGTATACTTTCAGTGTGGTTTTGATTTGCCTTCCTAATGACTAATGATGTTGAACATGTTTTCATGGGCTTATTGGCATATTTTATGTCTTCTTTGGAGAAATGTCCATTCAGATCTTTTTGCCCATTTTTAGTTATTTGCCTCCTTATTCTTGAGTCATAAGAATATTTTTATTCTGGATACTAGTCCCTTATCAAATATATGATATACAAACATTTCTCCCATTCTGTGGGTTGTCTTTTTAATTTCTTGATAGTGTCTATGAAGTACAAAAGTTTTTACTTTTGATGAAGTCAAATCAAATTTATCTGTTCTTTTTTTGCTTATACTTTTAGTGTTATGTCTAAGAAATCTTCCTAATCCAAGGTCATGAAGGTTCATGCCTATGTTTTTTGTTTGTTTTGTTTTTGCTTTTTGTAGCGACTGGATTTCCCCAAGTTGCCCAGGCTGGTCCTGACCTCAAGCAGTCTACCCACCTCAGCCTCCCAAAGTGCTGGGATTACAGGTGTGAGCCACCACACCCAGCTGTCATGCCTATCTTTTCTTTTCTTTTTTTTCTTTTTTTCTTTATTTTTAGACAGAGTCTTGCTCTGTGCAGTGGTGCGATCTCGGTTCACTGCAGCCTTCTGCCTCCAGGGTTCAAGCGATTCTCCTGAGTAGCTGGGATTACAGATGTCACCACCATGCCTGGCTAGTTTTTGTATTTTTAGTAGACATGGGGTTTCACCATGTTGGTCAGACTGGTTTCCTGACTTCGTGATCCACCTGCCTCGTGATCCACCCACCTTAGGCTCCCAAAGTGCTGGGATTACAGGCGTGAGTCACTGCGCCCAGCCGCCCATGTTTTCTTCAAAGTTTCATAGTTTACACTCTTAGATTGAGGTCTTTGATCCAGTTTAATTTTTATGTGATGTGAGGTAGGAAATCCAGCTTTATTCTTTTGCATGTGAATATCCAGTTGTCCCAGCACCATTTGTTGAAATTAGTATTATTTCCCACATTCATTTGTCATGGCATCCTTTTCAAAAATCAACATAAATGTAAGGGTTTATTTCTGGACTCTCAATACTATTCCATTCATCTGTATGTCTGCCTACTGTAGTTGAGATGTTTGTCCCCTTCAAATCTCATGTTGAAATTTGATCCCCAGTGTTGAAGGTGGGACATAATGGGAGGTATTTGAGTCATGGGGCCAGGTCCCTCATGAGCAGATTAATGCCCTTCCTGCAGGGTGGGAGGGTCAATGAATTCTTACTCTATTAGTTCCCTTGAGAACTAGTTGTTATTTTTATTTATTTATTTTTTTGAAACGGAGTCTCATTCTTGTCGCCCAGGCTAGAGTGCAGTGGCACAATCTTGGCTCACTGCAACCTCCGCCTCCAGGGTTCAAGCGATTCTCCTGCCTCACCCTCCCAAGTAGCTGGGATTACAGGCACCCGCCACCACATCCAGCTAATTTTTGTATTTTTAGTAGAGATGGGGTTTCACCATGTTGACCAGGCTGGTCTCGAACTCCTGACCTCAGGTGATCCACCTGCCTCGGCCTCCCAAAGTGCTAGGATTACAGGTGTGAGCCACTGCACCTGGTGAGAACTGGTTATTAAAAAGAGCCTGGTACCCCACCTCTTCCCACCCTGCCTCACTTCCTCTTTAACCGTATGATCTCTGCACATGCGGAATCTCCTTTGCCTTCCACTGTGAGTGGAAACAGCCTAAGGCCCTCACCTGATGCCAGTGACAGTCTCATGCTTGTACAGTCTACAGAATCATGAGCCAAATAAACCTCTTCATAAATTACCCAGCCTCCGGTAGTTCTTTTTTTTTTTTTTTTTTTTTTTTTTTGAGACAGAGTCTTGCTCTGTCGCCCAGCCTAAAGTGCAATAGTGCGATCTCGGCTCACTGCAACCTCCACTTCCCAGGTTCAAATGATTCTCCTGCCTCAGCCTCCTGAGTAGCTGGGATTACAGGCACCCACCACCGTACCCAGCTAACTTTTGTATTTTTAATAGATGGGGTTTCACCATCTTGGCCAGGCTGGTCTTGAACTCCTGACCTCATGATCACCCCACCTCGGCCTCCCAAAGTGCTGGGATTTCAGGTGTGAGCTACCATGCCCGGCCCTCAGGTAGTTCTTTATAGCAGCACGAAATGGTCTAAGCCACTGTCCTTATACCAATATCACACTGTCTCAGTTACTGCAGCTTTGTAGTAAATTTTGAAATTGGGAAGTGTGAATTCTTCAACTTTGTTTTTCCTTTTCAAGATTATTTCTAGTTATTCTGGGTCCCTTATGTTTCCATGTAAATTTTAGTATCAGTTTTTCGATTTCTGCAAAAGCACTGGGATTTTGATAGAGATTGAGTTGAATCTGTAGATCAACTGGGTAGTAGTATCACCTTAACAATGTTAAGTCTTCCCATACATCAATAAGGGATGTCTTTCCATTTACTTAGATAGTCTTTAATTTCTTTCAAGAATGTTTTGTAACTTTCTGTATATGTCTTGCAGTTCTTTTGTTAAATTTATTCCTAGACATTTTATCTTTTTGATGCTATTATAAATGGAATTGTTTCCTAACTTCATTTTCAGTTTTTCATTGCTAGTGTATAGAAATACAATTGATTTTTGTATATCAGTTTTATATCCTACAACCTTGTGAGACTGTTAATTAGCTCTAGTGTGTGCCTGTGTATGTTCCTTAGGACTTTTTGTATACAAGATATGTCATCTGCAAGTAGAGGTAGTTTTGCTTTTTCCTTTCCAATCTGAATGCCTTTTCTTTTTCCAGCTATGGATAGACCCTCAAGTATAATATTGAGTAGAGTGGTAGTAGCAGACATCCTTGTCTTGTTCCTGATCTTAGTGGGAAGGTTTTCAATCTTTCACCATTAAGTATGATGTTAGCAGTGGGTTTTTCACAGATTCCCTTTATCAGGTTGAGGAAGTTTCCTTCTGTTCCTAGTTTGTTGAGCGTTTTGATCAAAAAAGAGGTATTAGTTTTTGTCAAATGCTTTTTTGCCATCTATTGAGATTATCATGTAGCTTTTGTTTTATTAATATGGCATATTAAGTTGATTACTTCTTGCATATTGAAGCAACCTTGAAAGAAATCCTAATTTGTCATGGTGTACAATTCTTTTTATATGTTGCCTGATTTGGTTCACTAGTATTTTGCTGAGGATTTTTGCATCTCTGTTCATAAGAGATATTGGTCTATGGTTTTTTGGTGGTGTTTTTCTTGTGACGGCTTTGTTGTTTTGGAGTTTCTTTGTTTTTTCTTTTACATTGGGTTTTTTTTTCCCTCTTTATTTTTCGTTTTTATTTTTTAGCTTTGGTTTTAGTATAAGGATAATGCTGGCTTAATAGCATGTGTTGGGAAGTGTTTCCTCTTATTTTTTTTAACCCTTAATTCTTGGTTTGGATCTTCTGTTTTTTGGAAGAGCTTGTGAAGGGTTGGTAAAGGATTGTTTTTTAAACATTTGGTAGAATTTACCCATGAAGCCATCTGGTCCTGGGCTTTTTCTCTGTGGGAAGGTTTTTGATTAAAAATTCCATCTCTTTACTTGGTATAGGTCTATTCACACTTTCTATTTCTTCTTGATTCAGTTTTGGTTGTTTGTCTTTCTTGGTTATTAGGTTTCTTTTCATCCAAGTTAATCTAATTTTTTGGCATATAATTGTTCATAGAATTCCCTTATATCCTTTTTATCTTTGTAAGGTTGGTGGTAATGTCTCCTCTTTTATTTCTGATTTTAGTAATTTGAGGCTTTCATCCTTTTTTCTTTATCAGTCTAGCTAAAGGTTGTCAATTTTGTTGATCTTGTCAAAGAAGCAACTTTTGTTTTATTGATTTTCTCTATTCTTCTACTTTCCATTAATTTCTGCTCTAATCTTTATGTCTTTCTTTCTGCTCATTTTGAATTTAGTTTGCTCTTCTTTTTCTAGTATCCTAAGGTGGAAATCTTGGTTATTGATTTGAAGAGAGTTTCTTTTTAGATTGCAACTAGAGTTGGTGATTATATTCCTTAAAATGTTGTCAGATGATTGTTTAAGCAAAAAAATGGTTATGAGGTAGAATTCGCTTTTTGGAATTTTCTTAGGGGAGAAAAACCCTGTTTACTTGTGCAATAGATATTCAAAACTGAACATAAGTCAATAACATTATGCTATCGTTAAAAAAATAAGAACAGAGTTGAGCACACAAATGAAACCAGTAGGAAACACCCATTCTCAACACTGGTCAAATTTTGTAGCATTCTGTTCAACTCTCAAAAGTTCAGGTAAGGCCAGGTGCAGTGGCTCATGCCTGTAATCCCAGCACTTTGGGAGGCCGAGGCGGGCGGATCACGAGGTCAGGAGATTGAGACCATCCTGGCTAACACAGTGAAACCCCATCTCTACTAAAAATACAAAAAAATGGGGGGAGGGATTGCACTGGGAGTTATACCTGATGTAAATGACGAGTTGATGGGTGCTGACGAGTTGATGGGTGCAGCACACCAACATGGCACAAGTATACATATGTAACAAACCTGCACGTTATGCACATGTACCCTAGAAATTAAAGTATAATAATTTAAAAAAAGAAAAAAAATACAAAAAAATTAGCTGAGAGTGGTTGCGGGAGCCTGTGGTCCCAGCTACTTGGGAGGCTGAGGCAGGAGAATGGCGTGAACCCGTGAGGCGGAGCTTGCAGTGAGCTGAGATCGCGCCACTGCACTCCAGCAGGGACGACAGAGTGAGACTCCGTCTCAAAAAAAAAAGAGTTCAGATAAATCACACTGCAAATTTTTAAAGATTTATTTGACTGTTAAACCTCCTGTTTAAAACTGCACATTCTTATAGCTATTTACCATACATATAAGATATCTCTTAAGAACTGGAAATAGTCAGCTCCCGTGGGTTAATTTGAAGCAGAAGAGGGCAGTTGTTATACCAAGTCAGTTGGATGTGGAGTCTTACTCAAAATTCATTCTCAGCATTCTTCTTTTATGGTATCTTCTT